CTTGGCTGCACTGGTAGGATATGCACCACTAGTGGTGTACAAGTTGGCTGTTCGAATAAAACCAGCTCAAAAAGGCCATTCCGCAGCTCAAGTGGTAAAGAAGTTGTTGGAAGTTCCTCAAAGAGTTCCTCTGCAATCAGAAATCTCAGGAAATCCTTTCCAGAGCCTTTTGCGAAGCTATCATCTAAGCTTGAAACAGATTCTTCTGAAAATGATAGCATTCAAGATGACTTGGAAGAACTGGAGTTTATCTCACCTCCTGTATTGTTCCATACGGGGCTTCAAGTAAAATCTGAAAGTTCGTTGCCTGCTGACACTTTGTTGATGGAAAGGGGAGGTTGCAGTACGGACGCTAACACTGAATCTAAGAGAAACTCTGTTCAAAGATTTGAAGTGGACTGTCAAGATTCTCATGCATCCATGCAACCAAGAAGTCTTTGCCAGACATCAAATGGTGGTAACAGTAGGTACAGTTCAAGAAACCTCCCTTGTGATTCAGTATCTGAAATAATTCCATCAGATGGTTCTTTGCTGGAGCGAAACCTTGTGAGAAGGAAGAATGTAACAAAGAAGATGATATATGATGGTGAGAATAGTTCCCATTCTCGTGGAAAGAAGGTGGGTGGAACTTCCCAGGGGCAGAATTGTGTTTCCCGGCACGGCATCTTTATTTCTGATCAACGACCAGGTCGAAACGTATTTCACAGACAAAATGTTCTCTCATCATATGGGACTCGAAGTTTGACAAGTGTATGTAGTGGGGCAAGGCATTCATATCAAAGCAATAGTGATAATCTGTCATTGGAGGATTCACTAGCGTTGAATTCTTGGATGCCTCAATCTAATATCTCCAGCTCCTCAAATGCTTTTAGTTCACTTCAGTCATCTTCAGAATCACACTCCAGGCACCGCATGACTTACCCCGAACCAGAGGATTATAGTCAAAGTATACATGACATTGGACGAGCCACCCCTACAGAAGTCGATATTTCCAGCACTTTGACAAATTTGAACAGTTTTAGATGCCACAATGGAATTGCAGAGGTAATAGTCTTCTTAAAACTCATTTTATGGCCCTGGGAAAGAGTTGTCGCTTAGTTATTATACAATTTTCAGGTACTATTGGCGTTGGAGAGAATTGAACAGGAGGAAGAGCTCACTTACGAGGTGTGTAGTCTTTTGTTTTCTCTTGGTTTTTTATTTCATTAAAGAATTGAGCTGCTGACTGCTATCTTGATTTTTGTCTTGCAGCAAGCCATTCTTCTGGAGACGAGTATGTTTCTCAATAGCCTAAACATCAATGATCAGCATAGAGACATGAGACTCGACATTGATAACATGACATATGAGGTTAGCACTTCTTGAAAGTAAAAGTGCAACAGCCCAAGCCCACAACTAGTCGATATTGTCATCCTTGGGCTTTCTCTTCTGGGTTTCCTCTCAAGGTTTTAAAACGTGTCTGCTAGGGAGAAGTGTCCATACCTTTATAAAAAAATGTTTCGTTCTCCTCTCCGGTCAGTGGAGGATCTCACAAAAAATAAGAAATTGTAATTGTAGTACTTAGCAATATCTTGTTATTGTTCCAAGTTACCTAGTGGACTGTCTGATTTATTTTATGCTAAGAGCTGCAGCATTTATCACTTAACAGTTTTGATGAATTCTCGGTACTAACTTCTCTTCTCTATTCTGCTTTTAAATAGGAACTTTTAGATTTAGAAGAGAGAATGGGGACTGTGAGCACAGCACTGTCTGAAGAAGTCCTGACAGAATGCCTCAATACAAGCATTTATCAGCCAAAACCAGGAGGAAGAGCAGCCATGGGCTCTATCGAGGAGTTGAGCGACATCAAATGTTGTATTTGTCAGGTTCCCTTTCCTATCCTTTCGTTACTACTATGATCTTGATTGATTTACGACAGAACGACAGATTTAGTGTCTAGTATGAAAGGGAGCAAATGTAAAAGTGACTTAAAAACCCTCTTCACCACTCAAATTCCTTTGAAGTGAGAATAACATGAGTAACCAATGCATACCCTGTCGAAGAAAGGCCTAAGAAATTCAAATTATAGCTCTCTGTTGCCTATTTCCTTTGATCTTTGCCTGGACAATCACCTTGTTCTTGAGGGCATTGAGTTTCACTTATATTGTAATCTACAGACATGGACGAGTGGACGAGATTATGAATGACGTAACATACCAAGAAAGTCATCTCTTCCAACTTTTTGCAGGATGATACCTCTAACAGAACTAGGATAAATTTCTTGGTTTGCCAATTATAGCTTTAAATATTTTGTCAAAAACTCTTTGCAGGAAGAATATTTGATAGGAGATAACGTTGGGAGACTGCAATGTGAGCATAAGTATCACGTAGCATGTATTCAACAATGGTTGAGGTTGAAGAACTGGTGTCCTATTTGTAAAGCATCAGCAGCCAGCCAGCAGCTTCACCCTTTAAAATGATATAGATAACTGCAGATAGTGTGCCCACTTTCTTCAAATTTAAAACTCTCTCTGTCTGCAACTTCATGTTTGTTTGTACAGATAAGATTTGTTTCATCCCAATTGACCAACAAACTCAAGCAGTTTTATCTGAACTCTCAATTGAATTGTGAATCAAAATTGTCCATAAGTTGATGCTTTTGATAAAAGGGTGTTGATGCTTGACTTGTTTCAATGCGTTTGATAATAGGTCTTCGTGCTTGTATTATTCATTTAAATTACTAAAATATGTTTATTCCTATCTCTAAAGGGTTTATTATATCATAGGGTTTGATAAATTAGTTCGACCTAAAGAAATCATTTAAAGATTATTCCAATTTGAATAAAATAAAGGGACAAACTTTATAAGGTATCGGCATGTTATACATCTTGGCCATAAATTTTACACACATCCACAAAGTAAATAGCCTGATTAGCATAGAAATGTGCAAATCATAGCAAAAGAAGAGCACATATGAGAATCAACGATTAGACATCAGCTTAAAACTGCGCTGAGTTCAACACTTCCCTTTAAGAGTATAAGAGACTGCATGTAAGGTCTTCATAGACAAGAGTGAAGCCATCTGAACAAGTTCATTACCAAGGCTCCTGTCAATTCACTCCAATCCATTTTACAATTTGAAAAATGAATAAAACGACGAACAAGAATACGGGGTCTTCAATATAGCTTGACTAGTTAAAGTATAAATCCGTACACCTCTACAAAATGTGAGAAGTAGTTCAATAATTAATCATCCGCTTCGGAAAGAAATCGAAAAATTTCTCAGAAATCCTACTAGATCCATTTGTTCTTTTTTCTTTGATAGATGGTCAGAACTTCGGGTTTGAATCCTATTGAGAGGTTCACTAGAATCAGAAATTATTGAAGAAAGAATAAATTGTTTCTTTGGTCTGTTTCAGACGATTGTTTGAGAAGCGACTTCTACATCATTTGAATATCTCATCAAAGCATCAAAGTGGATGCGAGTCAATCAAAACATTAGGATTTGCTTACAGTAATTTCTTTTCCTTCCTTTGAGCTATCAAAATGCTTCCTTCATCCCACAAACAAAGCAAGACAAATTAACATCAAAATTAACTTACATGATGCAGAAAGCATAGCATAGCTGAGTGAGTGAAATGAAACCAGAATTTGCTGCACAGAGCAACATGATCATCCTGAACACCAAAAGCGAACACTAGATATAAATGGGAATCAAGAAACAAGATAAAGATAAAACAAAAACTAGGATAGCATAGCTGGACAATATCAAAATTTTCAAAGAATTCTAATTACCTTTAAGATAAGCATGCCACTGCAGGTATGTACAGCAAGGAACAAAGACTGCAGTTCTCTAAGCCCAGAGAAAACAAGTTTTCAACGGATTATACCTAATCTAGGACTGTGAGATCCCACATCGGTTGGGAAGGAGAACGAAGTATTCTTTATAAGAGTATGAAAACCTCTCCCTAGCAGATGCGTTTCAAAAACTTTGAAGGGAAGCCCTAAAGGAAAATTCAAAAAATGATAATATCTGCTAGTAGCGGGCTTGGGCTGTTACAAGGTTCATTTGACAGGATAATAGAAATTAGATTTAAGAACAAATAATTTAAACGAGAGAATCATCTCCTCGAAAGTCTTTTCTTCCTCAATCAGAAGTCTTTTCTTGTATCTTAATTTTAAACTATCCCTAGTGAATAGCTTGTGCCATTATCATGATATAAGTAAAGAAGGAAAGATACCGTGTTGATGAGATATGAACTTCGCCACTTCACCTTGATTGCTTCATTGATTCCTTCCCTTGTGCATTACAAACTCTGAAGTTCTTTTTTCCAATGAGACAGACTCAAGAAGTTTATAGTACTCAGCAATAGTTACTTCAAAATAATATGAACACACGTTCAGCTAAAATTGAAGAATATACATTACTGACAAGCAAGCACAAGCAATATCATAAGAAAATTGTGAGGCAACCTCTCAGAAGAACATTAATCAATTATGATCAGGCAAAGCACTTGCGATAAAACAACAGACAACCACAAAATCAGGTGGGCTAATTTCTATTTCTCAGAAGAACAGGTACTTTTCGAGTTAAAATGGTCCCGTACTTTTGTCTACTTCAAAGTTCAATCATGACGTTACCTTTTAATGAGAATTGTCCCCACCAATTCGTTGTGGCATTTGTAGAACGTTGATTTGTTCGGTAGCAAGCTGGATATCCAGTTGCAGAGACCTCGAAATCAAGCTGTGCTGCTCCTGAGACTTAAACTTCTCCCACATATACAATCACATTTATCTAAAGGGGCAGATCGATTTAGAATATAGCTAGTTTACGTTAGAAGACAAAACATGATTATATATTGAATAATCATATAGTTGAAGATGAGACCAATCTACACAACGCATTGAAATGGATGTTAATTTGTTATTGATATTGAAACCCCAATAAATTCTCAGATTCTAAAATACATACAGCACCTGAAGCTCTCACCCAGGTGTTCCATCTTTCACCAAACTAATTGACAGTATCCCTGCAAAACTTTTCTGATTTTCTCAAAAATAAGTTACATGAAAAGGCTAAGTTACAAGGTAGTGGCAAATGGGGCTAACATGAATGCTAAAAATGCAACAGAACAACCTTTTTGATGGGCATTCTGGCTGAAAGCTTCCCCTTTTTTAGTCGAGTTAATTCAACTTCCTAAATGGAGCAGGCAATGAGCTGTTGAGTTTAGGCAGCTAATGCTAAGGAACTCATGTGCAGTCGGAGGTTCCCTGGGTTGTTACAATATTTTTAGCATGGAATCTTGGAGCCTGAACCCAATGGGAGTGTGATCAAGTATACCCCAGCAGGAAGACATCCCAGGTAAAATTTGAAAGTCCTTTGGAACTGAACAAGACCAGCCAAAAGGATGGCTGAGGATAAATAAAGCCTTTGCAACTGCTTATTCCTCAAAGGCACGCATAGAAATTTTCTCCAACATCAAAGGCCAATCTTCCCCAAGCTGCTTTGGATTGAGCTCCATAGCAACTTTGAAATCGAGCAATGACGCTGAGCATTCTAAACTCTTTTCCTGCAAAACTTCAGACTGCCCGTTGCTATTCTGTACGTGTTGGTGGTTACTGGGCCACATACCATTTATAATCTTCCCTTGATTCTGTTGCTTCTGGATAGGGTGCCCTGTATGTTCAATTGTAGACCTTGATCTCACCAACTCAAGGCAAGACTTGATCAATTGCTTCAGGTACACATCCAGAGTGTTATTCAAGATGTTGGGACATTCTATAGAAACACCTTCAAGCCCTTGAGCAGTTGCGATTTGCTCCATTCGTTTTCTCACCGTCTCTGAATCAGACAATCCAATACTGTCGTAACAACTCAGAAAATCATGACTACTGCCACTACTACCAACTGGCAACGCCTTGAGTGCCCCACCTACACTAGCTGAGCAAAAGGGAATACCAAGAGGTGGAAGTAGAGGACCTCTCAGGATGCTTAAGGGATTTGACTGTTCCACCTCGTCTCTATCTTCAAGAACAGCTGCTTCTGTTGGATGTATTCTTGGTTTTTCTGATGGCCGCAGAACTGCTCCATCTATGTCATTCTCAGGTAGCTCAGCTACTGCTTCAAGATGCTGTACCGGTCTCTGATAGTCACATATGTTTACGTTACCATTCTCTGTAATAACTTTGCTGCTGCTATCTTCAGTACCAGATGATTGATATGAAAGACCTGTGATTTTTCCATTCGGACCAAGCGGACTCGGTCTATCCCTGAACTTTCCTCGTAAGACAGATCTCCCTTTCCGTGGGGATACTGGAAGAACTCCATTTGGCCACATTGGCATAGCCTGATTCTGATTCGGAAAAGTAGATCCATTATGTTCAGGGCCATCTTCCCTGCAAGGTGAGTTGTTTGAAGCTTGTAGCATAGACTGTGCATGTCCTGACCCATTTATTGGTGGTGGGGTCTTGGCTACACATGCATTCTTCAAAATTGACCTTATCAATTTATTGTGCAGCTGAATGTTCTCCCTTCCAAGCACACGGACGCACATCTTATCAAATTCAAACTTGCTCAGTTTCTGACCCAAAAATCTGCTCAAGTAGAAGAAGTACCGCTTTGACTTGTCATTTCCAAGTTTCTTAACTATCTGAGCTTTCAAGTCGCCTAAATCAATTCTGGAGCTGTGCTGAGGTTGCATTTCTCCAGAGAGCGGTTCATAAACTGTAAACTGTAGCAGCTCCAAATTCCAGTCACTCAAATTGAAGCTGAATTGCGGTACTGTACCAATACAAAACCCCCCCAGAATTTATACTTCCACGTCATTCAGAACAAATCAAGTCTCAGAGGCCACACCATTTGAGTGGGGAGGGGGTAGGGGAGGAACAGTACGTGCACGAAGCATAAAGGGTAGGTTTATAGCAGCCTGAAATCATAATTCCAGCAATGACTGAGCAACATTGAATTTGAAAGGAAGAATTCGGCATCAAGAACAGAGCCAAGAAGCATTAGAATGCAAACTCAGATCTATATTCCCCAAACCAAAACCCTAGAGATCAAAGCAACTAAAATCACTAAACCCCTCAAAGAAACAAGAGAGAAATCAAGGTGAAAAAGGTGTATTGATTATCGTACGAAATCAAAGCCCTAAGTCCGAATTGAAAAAGGAAAAAAAAGTAGAAGCGGAGTCGGAAAAAACGAAAAAACCACATACATGGAAGAAGAACGGAAGCGACGCGAATTGCAGCAGAGCAGGAAAGAATAAAAGAAACCCCGGTTCGTTGAGCGCAATTGGGAAGTTGGAAGTAGAATGAAGGAGATCAGTGAAGTGGATGAGGAAAGGGGAGATCAGTAGAGAAGGAGGAAGAAGAAGAAGAAGAAGAAGAAGAAGAAGAAGAAGCAAGAAAGGGGAGAAACATGGAAGAAGAATCAGAAAGGGAAAGGGGTTTAGAAGGGAAGGAGATATGTATGTATGTATGTATGTCATGTATGTATATATGTATGTATGTATGTATGTTGTTATGTATATATGTTATGTATGTATGTATGTTATGTATGATGTTATGTATGGAAGCTCTGACCTGAACCAAAATAAAACTTGCTTCGAAGAATTGCAGCGAAGAACCAAACTTCATTGACTCGGGTCTTTCCTTTTCAAATTTCCTTAACAATTCATTTTTTTCTTTTAAACTATTTTAGAATTTTATCTTTAAAAAAATATCCATAAAACTTTTAAAAAATTCAATAATATTTTTAAAAGATACCATTAATATTTTATTTTAAAAATAAATTTAATTAATAACTTTTTCAAAAAAATTCAAAGAATATTTTTAAATTTTTTTTAAATAACATTAAAATATTAGTAAATAATCTATGAGACCGTCGATAGACAATTTTGTCTGTAGTATATATATATATATATATATATTTATATAAAGATAAAAGATATCAATGCTACTTTTAAAATTTATTAAATTTTTTTAAGTGGGAAGATAAATATAAATTTTAAAATTTTAAAATCCAAAAACAACCGTAGAATATTTTTTTAGATTTTTTTTAAGTTTAAAGATATTTTTATTAATTTAACCTTTAAAATTATTATCATTTGATTTTCTAACTATTTTTATTAATAAATTTTAAAAACCCATAAATAAGTTGAGTAAATTTATAAATAAATAACTTAATCTCTATTATAGAAAAAATGTTATTGAAACTATGAATGTGTTTAGATATTGAAATTTTATTTTATAGTTATTTTTTCTCTAATTTTTTCTCAAAAATAAATTATTTTGTTACTCATTTAAATTGGGTAATTTTAACCTGTTTTGAGATTATCCAATATAATATATTTCTATGTCTAACTGCGACACCCGAATAAAAGAGAAATATATTAATGAATCGATATCAAATTTGAACGAGAGGGATCTCGAGTATAGAATAGCTAAAAAATGCTTGATAAAATGAAAATCCATGTGAGTGGAGACAAAACGTGTTCATGGGCATGAATTGTTACACTATCACACTTATCTTTAAAATTGTCGTGATTGAGCTACCGAAAATAAATATAAATATTTTATTTGAGGTAAAACAACACTTAAAATTTTATTTATAAATTCAAATTTAAAAAACTTTTTATCCCTTGATATATTTATAAATCCACTTTCAATCACATAAATTACTCAATAAATTTTACTAAAATAATTTTAAATTATTATTATTATTATTATTTTGTTTTAAAAGTGCTTATAGAAAAAGTATAAAAAGTAGGTATTTTTAAAATTAAAATAGAAGAAAGTTATTGGTTAAACAAATTGCATTAATAAACATGATTTGCACGTGATTATGATTTTAAATGTTGAAAAAGTCTCCACCCACCAGGCCCAAGACTCATTCAAATTGGGCCCTTGGGTCGCTCAGTAATTATATGATAATTGGGCCTCAAGTCTCAAACCTCCAAAGTTTGGGCTGGAATTCTAGCCCATTTTGACACACAACTTAGGCCCAAAAGAAGGCCCATTAAGTTGATTTCACAATCATTTTCTCTAGAAATACGTTATAAACCCACCACTAGCAGATATTGTTCCCTTTAAACTTTTCTTTTCGACTTCGGTGTCTTGTAAGGTGAGGTTTCCACACTCTTATAAAGAATGCTTCGTTCCCCCTTTTCAACCAATGTGAGATCTCACACTATTGGCAGTTTCGGTTTCTTGTTTATCCAAGCTCAAGTGTTTATTAAGGTGGATTACAAGTAAACTTAGAAACCCATTTTACTTGAATAGTACGAAACCCGAAGGAGTTGGATACAAGTGCATTTTATTAGACTGTACGTACTTGTAGTAGATAAAAATTCAAACTTTGCAAATGATTAATCTTGAAGCCGTTAATCTATACGTCACTAAATTTATTAAATTAATAAGATAAGATAAAGAACGTGACGTACATAAAACCTACCTTAGAATAAAACAAGGTAGTTTAGTGGGATATGAGTTAATAATAGGCAGTGGAATATGGATGAAATTATAATTATTAATATTGTGGAATGAGTCCTTTTGTTTTTGTCCTATTATAACTAAAGGCTTGTTTTATTTTTCGAACTTTTTACCTTTAGAGCTGTCCCATCCTAAGTGATTAACTCAACTTTTTAAAAATTAATTAAAAAAAAGATGCTTTTTACTCACATGCAATGCACAAACAAATGATTTTAATGCCATCTTTTTTTGCCCAATTTCATCAAAATTACAACATTTCTTATTTTCAATTTCACGGTAAAAAATAAAGAATGAAATTCGAATCACTCCACAAGTAAAATCGATCATGTTAAACTTGAATGATTTTAAACATGCAATCTGATAATAAATTTAACCATCACATCTTCTTTAAAGTTTATACTGCAATTGATGTCAAAGTTCATATGTTTTTGTTCTGTTTTAAAAGGGTTTTTGGAAATCCAATAAAATTTTAAAAATTTAAAAAGGATTTTTTTTTTTTTTATTGGGAATTTGATAAAAAATTAAAAAATTTCCAAACACAATTTAAACAACTGATGACAGCTCAAAATTTAATTTATGTATTAAAAAAATAAAATAAAATAGGAAAAAGAAAAAGGGGTAAAAAAGCAAGAGAAGTAGCCAAAGGGGGACCTCTTTTGCCTTCTCCCTCAAATTATATATAAACCCCAACAATGATTATGTTTCCAAACTGCAAATTCAAAAACTTGAGGCCCCAAAATGCAAATCCAAGACTTTCATTTTCTCCCCTTCTTTCTTCTTCTTCTTCTATCAACTGGCTGTTTTGCTAAGCTTCACCACAACTATTACCATAATTCATGCCCAAATGTTGAGTCCATTGTGAGAGCTGCAGTGAAGCAGAAATTTGAACAGACGTTTGTTACTGCTCCCGCCACTCTTCGCCTCTTTTTTCACGATTGCTTTGTTCGGGTATGGCTAAATTCTTATTGTTCTTTTCTCCAGATTTGGTCGAGTTTTGATCGAGTTTTTATGAGACAGGGTTGTGATGCTTCTGTGCTGCTTCATTCAAATAACCACACTTCTGAGAAAGACAATGCTGAGAATCTTTCGCTCGCCGGAGACGGGTTCGATACTGTTATCAAAGCTAAGGCTGCCGTCGATAGCGTGCCGGAATGTAAGAACAAGGTGTCTTGTGCTGACATATTGGCTCTTGCTACTAGAGATGTAGTAGCTTTGGTAAGTTCGTGTATGCAGTAACTTTTGAGTTCAAAATAGACTTAAAGCCCAAACCCACTGCAAGTCGATATTGTCCCTTTCCTTTAGGGTTCTCTCTCAAGATTTTAAAACACATCGGTTGGGAAGAGGTTTTCAGATCCTGATAAAGGGTATTTCATTTTTCTCCCCAACCGATATTGGATCTCACAATTGTTGTCGTTGTTGTTTTGTAGACGGGAGGACCGTCGTATGCAGTGGAGTTGGGAAGGCGAGACGGGCGGATCTCGACACGAAAGAGCGTTCGACACCATCTTCCTTTACCTGATTTTGGATTGGATCAGCTGAATGCCATGTTTGCAAGACATGGTCTATCTCAAACAGACATGATTGCTCTCTCAGGTACACTAATGACTCACTAAGCTTCCAATTGCATTACATTTAGAGGAACTTTACTAAGAATTTGTGTGTTGTTTTTAGGTGCACACACAATTGGGTTCTCACACTGCAAGCACTTCTCCAAAAGGCTATATAGCTTCCACAGCAAAAACCGAATCGACCCGACGTTCAATCCGAGCTACGTCGACGAGCTCAAGAGGGAATGCCCGAGGAACGTGGACCAGAGAATTGCTGTGGACATGGACTCGAGGTCGTCGTTCACGTTCGACAACGTGTACTTCAAGAACTTGCAGATGGGAAGAGGGCTGTTCACCTCAGACCAAGTGTTGTTCACGGATCCAAGATCAAGGGAAACAGTGAACTTATTTGCTTCCAACAATTCAGCCTTTGAAGAGGCTTTTGTGGCTGCAATGAAAAAGCTTGGGAGAGTGGGAGTCAAAACAAGAAACCAAGGGGAGATCAGAATCGACTGTTCTTCGGTGAACTAAATTAACAATCATGTCTGTTTGTTTTAACAATTTACTAATAAATTTTAAGAAAAAAAAGAGAATTTGTTTGAATGATTCTCGTTTGCACGAATTTATTAACGTTTTGAATCAAATTTAAATTGAAAGTTTCCAAAAGGAGTTGTTAGAGAGTTCAAAACCGTAAGTTACCGAGCAGTGGTAGGAGATCAAGACTCAGACTCCATGCCTGCTAAAGAATAAGTTGATGACTCGTAAGCATTGACCTAGTTAAGGGAACCCACCGGAGCCGTAGCGAAAGCGAGTCTTTTATAGGACAATTGTCATTGCTTATGGACCCGAACCTTTTCATATTTAACCCTAAACCATGCCTTTCGCTTTTTCCAGTGGGCAGGCAAGCTGAGGGGCCATTGTACAGGGTTGTTATTTGAATAAAGTGGAAAAAGAAAAAGAGGTAAGAGAATGAAGAGAGAAGAAGCAACCACCTCACCTCACCTCAATCAAGTAGGAATGTCCTAATAATGCCTTACAAACTCAAGTGATAAAGAATTAATTCATTTTTTTTTCAATTCAATCCCTTTAAATTAATATTATAATAATAATAATATATATATATATATATATACACACACACATATAAGGTAAGGAATAAAAGAGGACAAATTATTTAAAATAAAAGGGGGGAGGGAAGAGGTGGCAGATCACATGGAGAAGATGAGGTTAGTTAATTATATGATTAAAAAGAAAAGAAAATTGAGAGAAATGGACAAAAGCTATTATTATTATTATTTAATATTTGTTAAAATAAAGAATTGGAAAATCCTAATATTCAGTAGTAATTAATTATATACACACAAGAAAAAAAAAAAAGAAATAATTAGAAAAAAAAAAGAAATAATTAGAAAAAGAAAACATCCCGTCTGTCTGCATTGGCGGAAGATAAAAAAAATGGCTACAATTATTGACTACCAAAACTAACAAAGTTAGAGACAAAGGAAGGGGGTATTGGCATTGGAATTGGTTGTTAGACAGTGTAATGTTGATTAATTGTGTCGATGTCTAGTCCTTTCAACTTCACCACCGACTCCACCCGACCTTTTAGAGTGTGCAACTCCCGCAACCTATCCATCCAACAAGATACTAGAAATTAGTATCAAAGAGCACAAACTACGAAAAACTTCTCTCATTCAGAGGCATTCAAGTAACACTATAGTGGCATTGCTTAAGGAAGATGACTCGGGGTAGTAGGTACGTACCTTGCGATTTCAGCCCGTCGTCTGGCTTGCTCGGCGATTTCGGAGAGCTCCCCACAACTGTTCCTATCAGAGAGAGTGTTGTTGGATTGAGGTAGTTGAAGACCATGAATGGTTCTTTGTGTGGTTGCCCATTGTGCTTCTCTCTCTTCTTTCCCGTAATCTTTCTTGGTTGTGAAAGCAGTCTATGATGAGGGAGACCAACAGGAGAGGAAGTCCATGAAAACTGAGTTCAGTTCATAATAGAACAAAAGAAAGGTAATCAAACGGGGCTAAGAGTGTGCCTACCTTGTTCTGCAAAAGGTTGTTCCAAGCCCTTCCACTAAGAATATAGCGAATGGTAAATTTGAGGATATCAAGAGGGATGTATGTTATCAAACTATATAGCCAGATCACACCAGCCCATCCCCAGCCAGTGCCTTTTATTCTTGCAAAATCCCAGCTTGCATACACTGCTATTAATGTTGCTACCTGTCACGTAACCGAAAACGAGTTTCGTTGCTTGCTTAACCAGTTCAATGAGCTAAAATGCTAAGAATAAAGGTTTTTACTTATTGTTGTACTTACCAGCTGGGCAACTATGAACGCGCTCACTAAGAGAAGTCCGGGACGTTCCACGAAGGACCAACTTCGAGACCTTGTGACAAAGATAAGGGCCTGACTCACGATACTAACTTGTAGATACAATGCTGCCATCATTCTCGGGTCGTCGTTCCTCAGGGATGCTACGTTAAACTTGTTCTGCAAAAGGAAATTGGAAATACAAAACATGACACAGGAGAACAAAGGTATGTCACAAGAACTTGAATAGATATCCAGTGTGGATCATACAAGACTTCTTTGTTCTTACTGAGCAAAAGTCGGTGTCTCGCACGATCCAGAAGAATAACACTGTCATCAGAGCCAAGTATCCTCCCAACACAATGCCAGTAGCAAAAATTTCCTTCAACTTCCAACTGTCGGGTTGTGGAGAAGGCTTAACTCGATCCTTCGAAATGGTCATGATTGTTCCTAGTGCACACAGTACACAAAAAAAGTTAGAATTCCTGATCCATTCAGATAATAGGAAAGCCAGTGGATGAACCAACATTTTTGGTAGCCATACCATCGTTTAGAATAGCTATAATTAGAACCATGAATGGAGCGAAATCAAATTTCCAAATCAAAGCAATCAACAGAAAACCAAACTGCAATGTCAACAGAAAGAAATGTTAATCTCCAGCCCATATAGGTTGATATGAACATAAGTATTTCAATCTATTATCATTATATTTACCACTATACGGATGGTGATGGAAACTGCATAAATCTGCAAAAAAGGAAGGAAAAAAAAAACGATGAATGAGTTAGAGTTGTGTAAGTAATCAATTAAAACTGGCTGCATCAAAGTATAAACTAACCGTATAATTCTTCATCCTCTGGAAAATAGCTCTACTGGTCAGTACTGCACTGATAATGACACTCAATCCTGGTTCGGTGAGGACGATGTCAGAAGCGCTCCTAGCTGCATCAGTTGCATCAGCAACAGCAATTCCAATATCTGCCTTCTTTAGTGCAGGGGCGTCATTGACACCATCTCCAGTCATTCCACAAATGTGCTTCTTCTCTTGTAACCTTCTCACAATTTCATATTTGTGTTCTGCCATATGCAAATAAGCTTAGCAAAGCTATGTATGACAATGCATCTGTATTTGGAGAACTTTATAGGTAACCAGCAAAATGGAATAAAACAATAGGGCAGAGATAAAGCATGAGCTTGCACATATCGATATGACAAAGAGCATGGGGAACAGAAAGTTAAATTAAGGGAGAAAGGTAAAATTATTCATGATGATCTTCAATCATTATAAAACGATTATTTCCTATTCTCTAGCAATCAATGCTATTTAAGTTTAAGGGAAGTTGCAGAACCCACCTGGAAATACACCAGCAAATCCATCAGCCGTTTCAATCAACTCATCCACATGAAGGGTGTCTGCTGATGCATCCCTGTTTTGACTAAGTAATGCAGAAGAAGGGTACATATTTGATCCCATACCGAGCCTCCGACCGGTTTCCTTAGCAATAGCCAGTTGGTCCCCTATAATTAAGGCATCATTCAAATGCTATGCAGAAAAAAATGTTCGTATATAACACAGTAAGTGTAAAGATAGTGATATTTGCTTTGCACATACCAGTAATCATCTTGACATTCACTCCAAGGTTCAGAGCCCTTCTGATGGTTTCTGCACTATCATGCCTGGGAGGATCAAACAGAGCTAACAACCCAACAAGTTGCCATGGATCTCCTGGACTTTCTTTGGTTTTCTCAGGTACTTCCTGTGGATCAGTAGTTAAATAATAAGCTTGGAGAATAGAGCTTGCTATTGATCATTCATAACATGAGTGAAGGTTAACATTTGAAAACCTGTCTGGCAACACCCAATGATCGGAGTCCGCATTCAGCAAACTTATCAATCACTCCATGAACTTTCTCCCTGACGACTTCATTTGAATTGCAAAGATTTAAGATCTATTTCAAACAAGGAAAAATGAGAAATGAACAAATCCTTATAAACTAACTTGCACCAGTCAAGAATACAAAGAGAAATAACTTTACCTGCTCTGGAGCACCTTTGCTAACTCGGTGCCAGCTTTCGTTGGAATCGATATAAGTGAGAGCAGTTCTCTTATCAACAGGGTTGAATGGAAAAAAATGAACCTCTCTAATACCAGCTCGTGCCTGCATAATTTTGTCATCAATATATCATGTAAAATTCTGATTATCAAACTTTTGCTCATTTTTAAAAATCATGAACTAAAACTACACCTCTTTTGGATCTGCCAGCATTCCAACGATAGCAGCATCTATGGCGTCCTGATTTTCGGTCCTAGAGGCCCTTGCTGCAAGAAGAATGACATGTTCTTTATCCACATCCCCCACAAAGACTTCAGTCAAGGATTGGTCAACAGTGAGCCTATTCAAGGTTAATGTTCCAGTCTTATCACTGCAAAGGACATCCATGCCAGCCATCTCCTCAATGGCAGTCATCCGCTTGGTAATTGCACCTTGCTTAGAAAGACGGTGGGAACCAATGGCCATGGTGACAGACAAAACAGTGGGCATGGCAATAGGAATTCCTCCAATCAAAAGAACCAGCAAATTGTCAATGCCATCCCTATATGCACGATGCTGAATTGGGTACATGACTATGATCTCAATAACAATTCCAATAGCAATGGAGCAAATACAGAAGTTCCCAATCGCAGTAAGAACTTTTTGGAAATGCCCAACTTGATTGGTGCTGTCCACTAAATGAGCAGCTTTTCCAAAGAAGGTATGCACACCAGTGGCAATCACTACTGCTTCGATTTCTCCCTGTTTACATGTCGACCCCGAAAAAACCTCGTCCGAAGGGTTTTTGGTAACCGGGAGGGACTCACCAGTTAAAGCAGATTGATCAATCTTCAAAGGGTCCCCTTCAAGAAGACGAGCATCAGCAGGGACAATGTCTCCCAGTTTGATACTTATTATATCTCCTGGAACAAGCATTGCAGCATCTTGCTCACTCCAACGACCATCTCTGAGAACCTAGTTATATATACCACACAAGGGCAAAGATAAATAAGAGGAAATTAAGCAACTAATAATGATGTTTTAGTATGCTCTGAACCTTAGTTCTGGGAGCAAGACCGGCCATAAGGGCTGCAGCTGCATTTCCTGCGTTGTTTTCTTCAAGAAAGCTGATGGTTGAGTTGATTAAAAGTAGGGCAATGACTCCCACGCAATCCTGCCAGTCCGGAGGCCTTCCGCCGCCGTTTGCTAAGACAATAGCCATTATAGCCGCTGCTTCCATGACCCAAGAGAGAGGGTTCCACATAAACCCTAGAAATTTCAGGATTTTGCTCTCCTGTTTCCACACAAACGGTACTCTAAATCGATTTGAAACAACTCAACCATTGTTCGAAAGAAGAACATACAAAATTTCATAGTAATGAGACCTTTTTCTCTTCCAGTTTGTTCGGTCCGAAAACTTGAAGCCGATTGGCTCCTTCCTCTGAACTGAGACCTTCTTTTGTGCATTTGAGCTTCTCAAACACTTCGCCGATTGGAATATGTTCCTGTAAACACAAACATGAACATAAACATAAACATAAACATAAACAAAGCGTTTATAATCACGAAGGCGTCCGCATGGCGAAAGTTGTTAAAGTAAATCAAATCGTCACGAAATTGATCAAATCGAGGAAGATATTCATGAAGAAATCTCACTATTTCTGTAAACGTTTCGTACGGACATAAAACGCTGTCGTTTTACAACGCCTTAACGGAACTCCAAATATGAACAAAGAATCAGAATAGCCAAAAATAACGAAGCCTTACGTTCTTTCTCACAGTTCTCAGTCACTGGAATTACACCAAACGATCACTACGTCGCGGATTCCAAATTCTCATCACTCATCACAAACAAAAATCCTCAAATTACTGTTCGTTTTTTCGATCAAACGAAAACATGCAAAAACAATCCGCCGCCGATGCATGCAAAACTCCATAATCTCGAACAATCAGAGATTGATCGATTCAATACAAAAAAAATACACAAGACACTTACGATTGACGTGAAGATTCAATCGCATTTCAAACACCGAGCGATGATCCGAACATTATGATCATAAAGGAACCAGAAAACAGTGAAGAAAGAAAAAAAAGAAGAAGCAAGAAGAGAAAGAAGTACCAGATCGACGGACTCGTTGCGAATCTCTTGGAGAGTGATAGGATTGGCCATTGTTGATGATCAAGAAGAATGTGGTTGGTGAAATTGAGTGGACACTACGAAGATCAAAAGGCGGTGATTTAATATAGGGGAGGGAGGATCTGTGGATTCGTAATCCGTAATGGAATTTAGAAATATACGAGAATTCATGATCAGAATCATTATGAATTCTATTCCAAGTACTAAACGAGAATCAAGATCTTCGTTGACGGAGCAAAACCCCTACCTAATTTACCCACGTGATTAACTAATTTAACTTCCAATGCCAAACCTCTTATTAATTAATTTATTATATTAAAGCTAGGGCTAATTAATAATTTCATTAATTAGAACTTCGAATTACTTTATATTTTGAGTTAATTAAAATCCTACATATATAATTATCCACTTTAAGTTTTGTGAGGGTCTTAATCGTAAATATAAAATCACATGGCTTAGAATCTAATAAATAAATAAAATCTACCTCCGAAAAAAATAAGTTGAGTTATATTGATTTATGATTTTTATTTTTTAAAAATTAATGAAATATTATGTTTGATTTTAACTTGAAATACTCGAGCTTATTTTGATTATTTTGAGAAGATAATTATATATGTTTATTATCAAAATAGAGAATATTTTGAGAGATAATAGGCGTTTGTGCTGGAAAATAAATAAATAAATAAATTCACTTTTTAAATTTCAATTGAGATAATTGAGCTATATCTATATATCTATATATATATATTATATAATTTAAATATAGATAATTTTATGGAGTTGTTTATTGGTGAACAAATTGATAAATTTATTTTAATTAAAAATAAAAAAATAATGAAAATTGATGAAAGAAGATGAAACATGAAAACTTTAAATAAACGATTCTTTCAAACCGAGAATTTTAAAAAATTCGTGTATCACGAGGATATCATTTTTGGGTGGCTCCTTAGGATGTCCACCTAGAACTATTTTGATGGCTTATATATATAAATTTTAAACAACGATTCGTTTAAAATGAGAATCTTAAGAAACTCGTGTATCACACGGACATTAAAAATAGTTTTTTAAAATACCTGCTAAGAATCATTTAGATAGTTAATATATATGTGGTTTTTTTAAAATGAGAATCTTAAGAAACTCGTGTGTCACGAGGACATCTAAATTTTTTGGTGGCTCTTTAGAATGCATCTATTTCATACTAGCGTTTCTCTCTAATTTGCGTTCATCATTTGTATCTAAATAAGTTTTACGTACATGTGAACGTTAATGCATTACCGGTTTTAAAATGAAATTCTAACGAACCATAAAGCGACTAATAGGAGAGACAAAACATGATTTATAGATTTGAGCCATTTTTCCACAACTTAAATACACAAAGCTTCCACAGTGTCGCTTATTCAAGCTGAATCTATGATCTAGCTCTATACAAATCCGTACACCTAATCAAACTACTCATGATACAAGAGCCTTGTTTTAGCTATAGTCAAAGGTTTTTATGTCCAATATTAGGTTCCAACACAAACTACCTTCCTGTTTTCCCCCCCTCAGTTTCTTCGTCTTCCACGTCGCAGATATGCCATTCTACTCGTCTTCCCCGCTGCTACGTTGCTTTCTGTAATTGGCTTCTCTACCGTATTAACGTTATAACCAGCATCGTTTTTTTCCTTGCTACCATTATGGTTTCCTTCTGATACATCTTTACCAACTTGGTTTCCATCTGATGGAACTTTATTGGCAGTGGCATCAGCGTCGTTCGTGTTTGGGACCTCCATGGACACTTCACTTAGTTCGCATCGCTCCTTAACAGGAAGCCCTTTTGCCTCATGGTCGTGACCTGATGAATTGCTTTCTTCAACTATCTTGTCGACATGGTTCTCTTCTACAGCAAGCTCCCCAGTGGAACTGCAATGGAAGACAAGAAAATCAGCTATATGCAGTATTCGCTTGGATACAGAAATCGAGAGAGATAGACACCGAGATACCTAGGTAACGACGGAAGACCGTTGGCCAGCCCTGCAACTTCATGGACTGTAGAGCATCCTCTCTCATCTAAACTTGAATTTGATGCTGCACAGAAAAGCAAATACAGTTTACTATTTAATTGTTAGTGAAGCATATACTACACAATAGGAGCTGATCATAGATCTCTCATTTTTTTTCGATTTTTGATGTTATACATTTTTTTTTTTAATGATTATGAAAGTCTAGATCAGCTTGTTTTTTTGTAACAGCCCAAGCTCACCGCTAGCAGATATTGTCATTTTTTGACTTTCTCTTCCAGGCTTCCTCTCAATGTTTTAAAATGCGTCCGCTAGGGAGAGGTTTTCACACCCTTACAAAAAAAATGTTTCAATCCCCTTTCCAACCGATGTGGGATCTCACAATCCACCCTCCTTCGAGGCCCAGCGTCCTCGCTGGCACACTGTCTCGTATCCACCCCCTTAGGAGCTCAGCCTCCTCGCTGGCACATTACCCGATGTCTGGCTCTAATACCATTTGTAACAGCCTAAGTCCACCTTTAGCAGATATTGTCTTCTTTAAGATTTCCCTTATGGGCTTCCACTCAAGGTTTTAAAAGGGAGAAGTTTCTACACACTTATAAAGAATTTTTCATTCCCCTCTCCAACCAATGTGGGACACACTCATAAATCCTACAGAACTACAGCTTAATCCTGCAAACATAGGATAAAACTATTACGCACCTTTCCTCTCATTGGTAGGATTGGTTTCAAAATCCTGCAAGGAAGAGGCATAATAGAACTGTATCAAGCATCAAATAAAATCAGTACCATTCTACTCAGACTAGCTTTCTCTGTAGATCAGGCAGAGTTAATAACTCTCAAGACAGCCAAATATGTACAGATGACAGCCGAGAAGTAATTTAAAAAAGCTGGTAGATATCTAGTCTTATTTACGTATAGCAATACCAAACAGGGCGAAAATCACCCTACAAGCCATCCACAGCCAATCTAAGAAGGCTGGTCACATCCCCTGCCCTAGATACCAAGTATAAAATTTAACGAACTGGTTTTGCAATTTGCCCCTCCTATAATCTACATTTGCAATTGGAGGCCTTACAAAGCCGTTTTGGGAGTCTGTTACCTTATCCTGTTGTTGAAAAATGCTGCCTGAGCCAAGTAAGCAAGCCCCATTTTCTGGCACATCTTGTGTGATCTTTGACTCTGTGAGGTGCAAATGAGGGTCACAATGTTCAGGGACTATCTTTTACAAATGTAAGTACACTGTTCGACATGCAGAAATGTGTACCTGATAAGTTATGAGTAACAGAAATGTCTGCAAACCGATTCATTGATTTATCTATTGACTGTACAGCATGTTGCATTTTTTCTTGACTGTGAATTTTCGGATAGTCTGAACGTGCAGAACTCAAATTACCTTTGTAGTCTGAAGCAAATAAAGACCAATCAAGCTTGGCAGATGAGCGGGATCTTAGCATTTCCTCGGTTGCTTTTGATCGCACACGTCGTATTTCCTCCTGGATGTTCCATGATCCACTGGCAGGAGATTCCCTTTTGATCTGCACCCCAATGTCAACAAACAGAATGACAGATTGAGAAACTCAAAAAGTATTTATCATTAAACTTTCATATGGGGGTCGTGACTTGGAAGACGATCATACTAAAAAATTGTAAGATGGGGAAAATGTTTTGGAGAAGCATCATGAGTGTAGTTTAATGGATAAAATGGTACCTTAGATGAAGACAGTGGGTTTCCACTAACTGAAAATGATGTTTCTTCTTTGAAGAGCTGTAACCTTGATGGTGAAGGAGACTTAAACTCAAAATTATTCACGGAAGGAGAGGCCCATATAGGGCGTTCTCGCATGTATGATTTGGCTACATCTACAAGTGAACCCGTCTCTTCATCATTAACCTGCAGCAGCATATATTTCAATATTCCAAGAAGAAAAACCTATATAAGAACACATACCAACTCTAAATTTTGTATTATAGTATTATAGTATTATCATACCAACTCTATAGAAGAACAAAATCATTGAGAATAATATGGAGTGTAAGAAACCACTAAAGCGTAACAACTAGCAAGAAATAATCAAATTTATATGTGGCAGATAGGATGTTCATACGTACAAATAAACCATTTGCTCAGAAATGGAGTTCTTAACAAGTGAACTGAAGGGAATGTTGAACTGTAAGTGTAATGTAAACAAAAGTTGATCCATTACGTGATTATTCATATGCCATTCAAGAATAACAAAAGAAAGAATCACCAACCAGTGGCAACATCGTGGAATTCAAGGTGCATGGCCCATGATCCAATTCCAATGTCGAACTAGACCCCAATCCCAATCGTTTTTCATTCAACCATGTTTTCGCCTCAAGAATTGCTGTGCTGCAGACTGCAGACCCGCCATCATCTGTATCAATTTGTACACGATTCATTATTTGCATAAGATAAAATTATGGTTTACTGGAAATTGAAAGATCAGTACCACTATCAACTGCTTTGTTTGAAAGCTCAGTCAGCCGCCCTGCAGCCTCTCCTTCAATGCTTTGACATTCCACAACCCTTGATTCAATTATCTGAAATAACTTGTCACGCTCTGCCCTGCTTGAATGAAAGTGATGAACAAGAAGGCACTGGTAACAAATAATTGAAGGCTATCATCTAAGCGTCAGTGACCTAACTCAATTTGTTGTCATTTTTCACTCATGAACTAAACTATTTAACCATGAGGACATCAATCATTGAATATATAGGGACTTAAGTTTGAAGAGGAACAATAACTTATTTCCGCATGCACGGACAGTCTATATAAACTAAAACCATAGTAGCATTCATCAAGATAAAAGTGCAAGCAAGCTAGTAAAACCAAGATGAGAATTGTTAATCATAGAAAACAAAACGGAAATTCTCCTTTTCCAGTTAACTGATAGAGAGCTACATAAGAAATGTCTAGACCAAATTACATGTCGCACAAACACAATGGCTTAATTATAGTGCAAAATAGATAGAATTACAACATGAAACAATGAACAAGTTCCGGCAGAACTCCTCAAAAAATTACTGTCATACCTAGAGAAGGTTTCCTGCATCAGTAGCTGTTCAATTAGATGCTTGCTATCTTTCTTCTCTGGAGGAAAGTCCTTCCTAAATGAATTGACCATCTCTGATGTCCCACTCTTCCAACATAAAAATATCAATCAGACACACTGGTGTAGTCTATATAAATCAAATACCAAATAATCCATTGTCTTACACTTTGATTCTGTCACACATAATTTAGTTATATGGATATCATGTTGAATCAAGAATAGATCTTCCATAAATATATTTTATTGATTTATATACCCACATTGCACTAGCGAACCCTCAAACCATTAACTCTAGTACAATGCTAGATCACTTAATTATGAAAATTATTTCTTTCAACATAAAAAGAATTAAAATAAGAATGATGTTATTAAAGCATGATATTACAACACTCAATCACATATCAAACTTGATAGCAGGTCTGCTAGAAAAATATTGAGATATTTCTTATATTGCCTGATAATGAGACAAACAACCTAATTTCAATTTTATGAGAAAAAACCTCAACAAGTACATGATTTAACATCTAGATTGTTTACCTTCTTCACTCCATTTCCCTGGAAGACACGATTGTCATCATGAACATCATCTTCGACATCATCCTCTGTTAAACAAGATGCAATACATCTTTAAAAGAGCCATATAAGCAAACTAGAAGCAGAGAACTTTTTTTTTTTTTTTATCAAGAAACAATGTTTTCATTGAGAATAATTGAAAGAATACAAGGACATATTTAAAAAAAAAAAAAAACAAGTCACCCAAAAGAAGGGAGTCTGAACATACCTACAAGAAATTAATTCAGTCCAAAAATATACAACTCTCATGTCAATGATGATACAATTTTGTTCTATGACAATGACCAAACCAATATTCAAAACATATTTAATGTAGTAAAGTGATTTGAGATAGCCTCAGGGCCATAAACCAATTTGGAAAGGTCATGTCTGAGCATCTTGAGAATGCCAGCTTCAATGTTGTTTTCTCTTACACACCTCAATGCCATGGGCCACAATTCAATGGAAAAATGGTTTGAACCAAGCAAGCTAGTATTTAAAGACTCCTTAAGTTCATCTTGATGGACGTTCAAATTTTCTGAAGGAAAGGAAACCCGAATTGAATATCCAAGTTCAATTTCTCACCAACTCTTACAATTGTCGTGGCGCTATAAAGTTTCATTTCTCTTCACAAGGTTTCCCAATGAATTTTGTACTTATTCTTTTGTTGTAATTGATTTTAATTGGGTGTACTCTTATAAGCTCCCACGGAGTGTATAGATTCTTGATTGTAACTTTTCACTAAAACAATCAAAATGCTGCTTCTTGTTCTAAGATAGATCAAACTCCCGCAGACATCATGACATGACCTTGAAATAGAAACCCAGGGCTCAAAACTAGTTTTGAAGAACTAGCACACATTTCAAATGTAGCCGTAAGGCTGGAAGCCTGGAGTTACACTTTTAAGTTAATTTTTGAATTCTAAGTCGTAATATTGCAAACACAAGAGAAACCTAGACCAACTACGTACATGAAAGAAAATTAGGCATCCTAAATGAGTATCAATATTACTGAAACCTAAAATTTCATGAACCCATGCCACAGCCTACCACCCAATTTCATCAATTCCAGCCTCCTGACCATCTTACTGCGTATACTTAACAGCAAACACCATAAAGTTTACCATGAGTTGCTTACTTCTTTTCTAGTACTTCCTCCATTTCCCATCCACATTCAAACTCCGAACTACATTTTGCCCTTCTTGAGCTCCTCCCCAACTTCAGTGTTCTACCTACTTCCCATTTCCTCAAAACAACCTTACATTTCGAAGCACCACAACCATATTAGTCACTCCTAACCCTTGGTAAAAAAAAAAAAAGCTACTCCATCCATAGTTCTCACAAAACATACACAAAAATTCAGTTCAAATTAAGCCAACCTGAATCACTGTCGGAGGAGGACGACGACGACTCGGTAATGAAGACAGAAGAGAGAAACTTTCCAGCGCCGGAAGCAATGGTGAGAGTAGGCGAGAAAATGAACCTGGAGATCCAACTAGGGTTTCCTCCAGGGCCCAAATTCGAAAGTCCAGGACGTTCATAAGGAGTCTTCCTACTCCAAGCTCGCCTAGCTCGAACAATTTTCCCGCCGGTTCTTGACCCTCCGGCTTCACGATATGCAGGAACGGACGCCATGGAAGAAGTTAAGAGTGAAGATACTTCGTTTGCTCAGGCGAGAGAGATTTTCCAGTTATGGAAGGTGAAATAGCCCACTCCGGGGTAAATTGAAAATTGACGTTTTGTAGCATTGAAAAGACAATAATACCCTTTTTCTATCTTGATTTTGTACTTCCATAACCAATGTAGTAAATCAGTATTTGGCTTTTGAGAATTGATGTTTCTCTATGGTCGTGATTTGGTAGATTACTTCCAAACGGTAATATTTGCAAGAGGGGGCATAACTTTAAATTTTTATATTAAGTTGTAATATCACATTCATAAGCGAGGATAACAAAATATTTCTTATAAATATATATAAACTTTTTTTTAGAAAAACCATTTTATAATCAGTGAAACTTATGACAATACATAATGGGTCAAATCGGTCAATATCTAGGGACTTAGGCAGGTACAACTAGTATCAGAATCAGATACGAGGCGGTGTGTCAGCGAAGACGTTGGGTTCTCAAGGGGTGGATTGTGAGATCTCACATTGATTAGAGAAGAGACTTGGGTTGCTACAAGTGGTATCATAGTCAAACACCAAGGGTATACCGATAAAGACGTTGATGTGTCAGCAAGGATGCTGGGTCCCCAAAGGGTAGATGGTGAAATCCAACATTGGTTGGAGAGGGGGCTTGGACGGTTACAATGGTATTAAAGCCAGACATCGAACATTGTGTCAGGGAGAATGCTAGGTTCCCAAAAGGTAAATTATGAGATCCTACATTAGTTAGAGAGGGAGTCTGAGCTATTATAAATAGTATCATAACCAAACACTAGAGATGAGCCAGTAAAGACGGTAGTGTGTCAACAAGGATGCTGGATCCTAAGAAATAGATTGTGAGATCCTATATTGATTGGATAGTGACATTTAAAACCACGAATATTTGAGCATTTTGGAAGGCATTGCACCCCAAACATAGGCGCTGGCTCCTGAATCAGAGCTCAAGAAATCAAGAAGAAGCCATTTGTATTTCATATTTCCTCATGATTGTCGTAGTGTTCCGATACCAACGAGAATCGGTGTCCGTAGCCGTGGAATTCTGTGAACTACCAGGCTTGGTTTGTTCTGAACTGCCTGAAGAACCGCTAGTGCTCCCCATTCGCATTTGATTCAAATACTGAAAAGGCTTAGGCGGCGCCACAATATCCACTCCTCCCTCCAACATCTTCACCACCGCACTCATCCGCGGCCGCTCATCCGGTGCGTCCTGCACGCACCACAGAGCCACCACGCACGCCCGGCTCGCCTTCTCCCTATCCCTCTCGCCAATGCCACACCCAACAACCAACTCATCCAACACACCCTTTTCAAAAGCATCCCACACCTTCTCCGGAAACCAATCAGGATTCCCAGAATCAGTCACCCCAGCATTCCTCTTCCTTCCCACTATCTCAAACAATACCATTCCAAAGCTATAAACATCGCACTTATGCGACACGCGGTAGTTCGTGAGGAAAAACTCTGGCGCTGAGTATCCAAAAGTACCTCGAAAGCCGCTCATCGACACGTGAGTGTTGTCCCTATTGCAAAGCTTGGCAAGCCCAAAATCACCAACTTTGGGGAAAAAGTTGGAATCAAGAAGAATATTGGCTGGCTTAATGTCATAATGAATGATTCTTTGTTGACATTCCTCATGCAAATAAGCAAGCCCTCTTGCAGTCCCAATGGCTATATCATGCAATTTCTCCCATTCCATTGCTTGTTTTCTGTCAAATAAGTACTTATCCAATGACCCATTTTCCAGATACTCAAAAACAAGGGCACTCATGAAATGGTCATAACAAAACCCATAAAGCCTAACCAAATTGATATGATAAGTTCTGCAAATGGAACCAACCTCAGCCATGAACTGTTCTTCAGCTCTTTTGTCTGAGCTTTTCTTAAGGACCTTCACGGCGATGTTGACGCCGTTAGGGAACTGGCCTTTGTAAACCTCTCCGAAGCCGCCGGAGCCGAGGCGAGTGGAGTAGTTGCTTGTGAAGGAATAGAGGTCTGGAGCGGTGAATCTGACCGGTTTTTCTTCGGCTATCTCTCTGAAGAACTTCTCCATTGTTGGTGCATCGGCTTCCCAGATAACAGGGGGAGGAAGAGACACGTGAGGTGCAGGTGCAAGAGGAGGAGCGAGAGTTATGTTCCTTAATTCTCTTACAACGTCTGGTGTAGCTTTCTTGACAAACTTGTATAGACATATGCCAATCACTCCAAAAACCAACAACGAAACCACCAACCCCACCACATCTGAAAATCATATAACAATCAAGCGACCTATCAAAACAAATCAATCTTTTGCTATACACACACATTTATATATATACACACACACATATGTATACGTACAACATTCATTTCAACCAAAACGCCATCTCATAAATTTGTTTCCTTTTCGAATACAACCAGTCGATTTTTCAGTTGACTTAGATAGTTATTTCAAAACAAATTAAAAATTAAAAGTTAAACTTTGTTATTGTTAAAACCCATCATAGAGTTTTAAAGTATTTTGTGGAGTTTTTAAATTTTGTTGTCAGTTTTAAATATACATAAAGAGGAAGTAAGAGAAATAGTGAAAAGAGATCTTTACTCGGGAATTCGTAATCTTCCTGTCTTTATTCTTGTCTAAATCCATATCTTACTTAGTCTCATATATATAAATTGAGAAATTATGTTCAACAATATAGAATACTTTTACATGTAAAATATCATTAAATTTATTATAATAGAGATATTATTTTAGAAAATGAAATTTCTCTATTAAAAAGTTATTTGAAACTGTATTTTTTTTTTAAAAAAAATATATTAAAAATGAAAGGAAAAGGAAAAGGTCCCAAACCCATCCTCCAATCCCATTCCCACTCGTGGATATAAGAAGCATAGTTACACAAACCTTTGTTAAAAATTATATACTAATCTCAAACGAAACGGTTCATTCGATTTTCAGAACTCAAAAAATCATTCCGCGCATGATAAACCTGAAATAACTGACGAACAAGTAAAAAAATTGGAAATACTTACAGAGAATAATCATAGAATTGAATGCCTTTTCGGGGCTAGTAAACGACGAATCTGGTGGGGAGAACCTGATAGAAACAAAAGTTACTAACATAACTCAGATTTGCGATTCGCAATTTTCACAATCAGCCATTAAGATTAACAGAATCGCAAATACTTACTGGCATAAGAGAGCTATTTCGATCATTTCTCCTTGGCTAGGGTTCCGAGAGTGAGGATTTTACAGGCGATTGGCGAGAGAAGACGAAGGATTGAAGAACAAATAGATTCGAAATGGACCGATTCGTGAGGGATTTGAAAGTTACTAACATAACTCAGATTTGCGATTCGTAATTTTCACAATCAGCCATTAAGATGAATAGAATCGCAGATACTTGCTGGCATAACAGAGCTATTTCGATAATTTCTCCTTGGCTAGGGTTCCGAGAGTGAGGATTTTACAGACGATTAGCGATAGTGGAGAAGACGAAGGATTGAAGAACAGGACCGATTCGTGAGGGATTTGATTCTTAAAAGAGAAGAGAAGAGAAGAATCGGAAGTAACCTTGAATTTTCCGTGCTTGACTAGACTCCTCCGTTTGCGAAATCTCGAATTTGACATATTCGTTACGCGGGAAGATGAAAGATGAAGTTTCGCGTTGCGTCGTTTCTTCTAGACTGCCAATGAACCAACTGGCTTAGCTAAATGAAAATGACGTTGTGTTGAAACTCTTTCACTAAAATTTGGCCTAAATTACAATAAATAAACATTAATTTTGTAATTTGCTTATAAAATATCAATATTTTTATACTCTGAAATGCTTTGGGATTGAGCTACCATTAGTCGAAGAAGATGTCGACCAATCCACATGGCTTGCTTGACGGGACATCGTAAATTGGTCCGCAAGCATCGCAATTAGTCTTTTGTCTTACTTCAAGTGCTGCGACAACGTTTACCATAACGACTATTGACCATCATGGTGGTCTGCTTTTTCTTGTCCTAACGTTCGTCTTTCTCAATCTTAAAAAGCTGACCCGTTGGAGATGGAAACCCGATAAACGTTTAGAAAATATTATTAAAAAAAAACTGTTATAATATTAAATGGAAACCCTAAACGTGTTTGAACGTCATTGTTTAAGGCTTAATCCAAATAAATGTCACATGCACAATTTAATTATTTTAATTTTTAGCATTGATTAATTTAATTTATTTGACTCAATCAATTCCTAAACTGAATAATATAAAATAGGATTAGAAGATTGAAAGGATAATATAATTAATAGGAATAGGAATTTAAATTTTTAAATAATCATATAATAATATGCATATTTTTCGAAGACTATAAGTCAAGGTCGACATAATGTAATTATGTAATAAATGACGAGGAGAGAGAAATTTTAAACTAAAAATATTAAAATTGGAAAAGTCAATGAGATACAGACAGCTCGGCAGAGTTAATTTTGTTAATTTGATTCAGTTTGCGAGTTGACATTTTTGCAATCGATTTGTGGCTTAAAAATTTAAAAACTACCCGACAGTCCAATTCAACTCAACCCGAAAGTATATAGTTGGGTTGGGTTATAAACTTTATTCGAGTTGCTCGAGTCACCGAATCCATGTAGGATTTATTTATTATTATTATTTTGGTATGATAAATAATGATAATATAAGGTGTGGATTGATTTTTTTTATATTATTTTTCAGGCTCCGTTTTGCGCCCATTCCATGTTTTGTTCTATTCTCATGCAAAACAAAGCCATGACTGACTCTCTCCCTTTGTGCGCCGTCCGTATTTTTAAGGTCCTCGTTTCATCGCTATCCTCTCCTCTTCTATTATCTCCTCTTCTATCAATAAATTATTCCATTTCTTGCATTCTATATGCCACAAAATAAATCAACAAATATCGGGTATGCCGTTTTTGAACCTCCGACCTCAAACAAAAATAGTATATATAATATGTTAACTCTAGCCAATCGACTCTCATAAATGATCTGAATATGCAAACTCATTGTGAGATTCTATATCGGTTAAAGAAGACAACACAATATATCTTATAAACGTGTGGAAACCTCCCCTAGTAAACTCATTTTAAAAATTGTGAGACTGAGACGATTCGTAATGGGTCAAAGTAGACAATATTTACTACTTGTGGACTTTGACTGTTATAAATGGTTTTGGAGCCGAACATTGAGTGGTGTGTCAACGAGGACGTTGGACCCTCAATAAAGGGTGAATTGTGAGATCATATATCGTACTTTACGACCATAACTAAATGTAATCTTAAATCAAATAAAAAGTTTTAAAATACATTATCGAAACACTTAGTTTATTTTAAAAAATAAAATAAAAAGTTTATTTCAAATAAAAAGTTTTAACTCGTTACGTATCGTCGTCAGCATCACGGTTTCAAAATGCATCTGCTAGGGTGGAGTTTCCACACTTTTATACGGGATTCTTCGTTCCCCGTATATGATCTCACAAGATTACATTTAAGATTACATTTAGTTATGGTCGTAAAGTACGATATATGATCTCACAATTCACCCTTTATTGAGGGTCCAACGTCCTCGTTGACACACCACTCAATGTTCGGCTCCAAAACCATTTATAACAGTCAAAGTCCACAAGTAGTAAATATTGTCTACTTTGACCCATTACGAATCGTCTCAGTCTCACAATTTTTAAAATGAGTTTACTAGGGGAGGTTTCCACACGTTTATAAGATATATTGTGTTGTCTTCTTTAACCGATATAGAATCTCACAATGAGTTTGCATATTCAGATCATTTATGAGAGTCGATTGGCTAGAGTTAACATATTATATATACTATTTTTGTTTGAGGTCGGAGGTTCAAAAACGGCATACCCGATATTTGTTGATTTATTTTGTGGCATATAGAATGCAAGAAATGGAATAATTTATTGATAGAAGAGGAGATAATAGAAGAGGAGAGGATAGCGATGAAACGAGGACCTTAAAAATACGGACGGCGCACAAAGGGAGAGAGTCAGTCATGGCTTTGTTTTGCATGAGAATAGAACAAAACATGGAATGGGCGCAAAACGGAGCCTGATAAAAAAAAAAAAAAATAATGTGGTGTCCTTTGATTTTTTTTTTTTTTTATTGATTTATAAATAAAATAATTATTAAAACAAAATCAATTCATAAAAAAAAAATTAAGAGAGTTAAGTTAAATTGATTTTTTTTTTTTAAATTTTATAAATCTGAAATTTCAATTGATTTAGAGAAAAAAAAAATACTTTAATAACTAAAATTTCACAAAATTTACAATATATCATCGATCTCGGTTACAAAAATTAAATATTCTTAATTTTTTAAAAGTAAGATCGGGATGGATTGTAACCTTTCCTTTTGGATTGGTTGAGTTAACTAGACAAAAAATTATCAACCTATAAATCGAACCAAATTTTCGATGTTCAAAAAATTGAACCTAACTTAAATGAAAAAAGTCTAACTCAACCCAACTTTTATGGTTTAAGTTAGATAGTTTGGATTGGTCGAGTTATCAGATTATATGAACCCTCAAGTCAAATTAACAATATTTCCACTTTTGTTATTCTTTCTTTTTACAAATATTCTTAAAATTGAATTCATATTTTAAGATTTGACTAAAAATTCAAATCATAAAACAACAATCACAATTTTAAAAAATCAACAGTTACCTAACCAAAACTAAAATTGCTATGTGGCGGATTACAAAACATCCTCTTGTCATGAAATCCAAGCTTTATCACTTCCATATTTTATTAAAATTCTATTACGAAAATCATTCTCATGAACATACCCGTCGATAACTTATCGAATAAAACACGTCCCTTCGTTTAGAATAGAATAGAATATAATACACTATAGAGCCCTACTATAAACACTTCTAATAATGCATAATAAGCAAAATGAAGTACCTTTTTCCATGGCGAAAACGAAAGCTTTGAGGCCAAAAGAGATGGGGTTTAAGCTTCTTCTAAGAACTTTCTATCTGTATTTCGTACTTCTTCATTATTGGAGTAGTCTTCTTGTACCAATATGAGGCACTGTCTTCATTTGAGGTTGAATAATCTGAACTGCTGCTTGTTTGTTGTAGATTCGATCCTCTACTGTTCCTTTTTGGAGTTGGATCCAAGTACAGAAATGGCTTTGATGGTGGCACTATTTCTACAAATCCTTCAAGCATCTTCACCACCGCACTCATCGGTGGTCGTTTGTCGGGGCAGTCTTGAATGCACCACAGAGCCACCTCGCACATCCGAATCACTCCCTCTTTATCATCCTCAGCATACCCACATCTCCTAACAAATTCAACTAATTCACCCTTTTCGTGAGCCTCCCACACATGTTGTGGAAACCAATCCGGGTTCCCAGAATCAGTAACACCACCATTCCTTTTTCTTCCAACAATCTCAAACAACACCATTCCAAAGCTATACACGTCGCACTTGTGGGTTATTGGATAGTTCTTTAGTAAGAACTCCGGTGCTGAATATCCAGGCGTGCCACGATAACCAGTGAGCGACATATGTGTGCTGTCCCGGTTGCAAAGCTTGGCAAGGCCAAAATCACCAACTTTGGGAGTGAAGTTTTCATCCAACAGAATGTTTGCAGGCTTTATGTCGTAATGGATGACTTTCTGTTGGCATTCCTCATGCAAGTAAGCAAGACCTTTAGCAGTCCCAATGGCTACATCTTGTAACTTCCTCCAATCAAGTTCTTCACTTTTGCCAAACAAATACTTATCCAGAGATCGATTTTCCATGTACTCAAATACCAGTGCACACATATATTGGTCATAACAAAACCCATTAAGCCTAACCAAGTTTATATGGTAAGTTTTCCCGATCGTTCCTACCTCATTCATAAATTGCTCCTCCGCCTGCTTGTCCGAGTTCCTCTTCAAAACCTTCACCGCAATCTTCACTCCATTTGGGAACTCTCCTTTATAGACCGTACCGAATCCTCCCGCACCGAGTGGTGTCGAATAATTGCCTGTGAAATAGTATAGTTGGTGAGCAGTGAACCTTATAGCCCTCTGTTCCGCCATTTCTTTGATGAACTTTTCCATTGTCGGTTGATCGATTTCCCAAACCGGAACTGCATATGGGGCAGATGAATGTGCCACATTTGATGCAGATGAAGCAACTGCATTTCGCAACTCTGTGACAATACATTGCTTAACTTTCCTAGCAAAGCAGCAAGAGATTACACCAATGACAATAAAAATCACCAAGGTCACTCCTACAGCTGCAAGCCAATGTTTTTGTTTAAGGCGGTGATGAATAGAAGTCTAACTCGTGTCAAGTATAATGTTTCGTATATTTTCACAAAAAACAGTGATAAGGGGTACTCACAGGTAGCAGTTGTGCTAGAATTGCTGCTGCTATTCGTATCTGGTGAGTAATCGACCGACGACATTATGAGGAGACAAGTTGATCGTTACCTTACGACACAAAAACATTTGACAACAAAATTAACCACAAACCAGAATAGGACAACAAACTATCGGACATCTGCAGTTCTTCGTGTTCATATTTGTTTCAAATTATTGGACGTATGAAGACTAATATTTCAATTCTTCCAAACGCGCAATCAACAATCAGATCGAATAAAAACAGAGGAAAATATCTGGTATCTGCAAACTGAATACTGCTAGCTGAAAAGCAAAACATCAACCTATGCTTGAACATCTCTCTTATCTGAACAGATATTAATCTCTTTTTCTACGTGCAATCAACAATCAGATCTCTCCCACTAATTGTTCTTAAGTTTGTTGGCTCTTAACATACCTATATGAAAGGAACCAGAAACTAAAGGATTAAATCTCTCCCACTGATTCTTCAGTATTCCATTCCGATCACAACTCCTCACTGATTTTCTTACTTATCAATTTGAATTGTTGATCAAATTTTGTGAAGAAAAACAAAGCCATTACAGTGAAAGCAAACAAATCCAGTCATATTGCTCAAAGAAATTCGGTCGGCTATCAAGAGAGTTACACTTACTTGGTAGTAAAATCAGATGAATGTTAAATCTTGTTCATGTACAGCAGCTTCTTTCCTATGTTTTTCTTCTTCGCCTTACCATCTCCTACAATTCGAGAGTATTTTTCTTAGATAAAGTAACAAAAGAGGAACGAAAGTTCGAAGAAGATCCATTCCCAAGGCCATGGCTTATCCCGTCACAGTCACAAATCCAACAGAAATTTAAAGCTCGGATTTCTCGCCAATATTTCCACATTTCATCCAATGATTTCAAACCAAGACAGGGACGGACAACATGAATAATCCTTGTAATGAAATGGACAAAAGAAGACCTAATATATCTACCGACGATTGAAACTTCAATTTCAAAGCTGACTGACTCAGTCAATCTACTCAGTTTGTGGCGTAGACCTGCTGCACCTCTTCCGGGGCTTCTTCCGATGGCGACTTTCATCTTAATGGGGCCACTGAGACTGGGAGGACCCGCCATGGCTGCCGTTTGCCCGACCTTTGCCGCCTGAACTTGCAACTAGACTCGTTTACACGATTGAACTCAATAAATACCCACCGAACCGGAAGCTAACTCTAAATCTTCTCAGATTAAAATAAAATAATAATAATATATTATTTATTTTCCATAATTATTTTTAACAATTTTTATTACCTTAGTTAATTGGTTAATTTTAGGTAACTAAATAGGGTTAGTATTTTTATTAAGTTAAATTATTAAAATAATTTTAATTAATTGATAAATATATTAAGAATAATATTCTTTTAAACTTTTAAGTTTTTTTTTTTTTTAATTTATTGAATTATTGTCTTAAAAATTATCTTCAAATAAACTAATTTAATAAAATTATATATATATATTTTTTAAGCTTTAAAGATATTATTTAAAAATTTAAAAATTTAAAATTTTAAAAATATTTTTTAAAAGAAAATGCAAAATGAAAATATTTTTATTAATTTAGCTAATTAATTATTTATTATTAAGCTGCTTTTCTACACCATCACAATTAACCTTCCACCTCAAATACGATCACGTGTTAAACGGTGCGTTTTGCATTTTCCTTTTCATTTTTTTTTTTTTTCGGAAAAATACTTTTCTTGCTTGGCTATTAATTACGGTTAGAAATTAACCCGTATAAAAGGAAAATGCCAGCTGGCGCCAACTCAGCCTTCTTTAAACGTATCATTTCCCTTCTGGATTATCTGCATAATTTCTAATTAAACCAAAAAATAATAATTAAAAATTTGTTTAATTTGAAAATTTAATTCGGCCACCGAGATCATGGACTCCTCACTCCAGTATAAGCATGGGACGATAAAGAACACTATATATATATATGGGAACATTTGACTTTTCTCTTCCGTCTGCCTTCGCCTGAAATCCGGAGTGGATTGGGGAACGGGAACGAAAGCGATTTTATTGTTCTTTTGCTACTCTCGCTTCCTCATTCGATTCTACAGGTTTGCTTGCGTTGTCTCTTTAATTTAATCGCTGTTCTTGGTGAATAGTTGTTGTTGATCTCGCTGTTATTGGTGAATAGTCGTTGTTTATCTCGCTGTTGCTGCTAGTTTTGGCGATTGGATTTTGTTTTGCGGTAGAAATCGAACAAGAGTTTCTTGTTTTAGGTTTTTTTAAGATTATGTTTACGTTTTTAGGTATGATTATGATATCTGTGCTGGAGCTGGTTTTCTGTTGTTCTACTGTTTAGAGAATGTACAGGGAAGTTCTTCATTTGTTTATTCGATTATTCAATTGTTTTTGTCTTGCGATTGTTCCTCGGTGTGTTTGATCCTTTTCTTTTTTCCTGTTATGTTGTTAAATGAATTTGTTCGATACTCCTTTTTTTAGTCAGAAGAGATCTCGAGTTCATTTCTCTTGAGATTACCGTAATTGAGCTAAATTTGGAACTCTTGTTGTTTCTTACACACTTTAAAATCTTCATTCAGCCTGTCTTAGGGCTCAGGGATCGAGCTATTGGTTTTCATGTACAGTATTTTCCTTTGATCTACCTTATTATTGTATCATTGACCTTCTTTGGAGTGTATAATTTGTTAGATCACGTGATTAGAGGAGAAGGGATTGAGGAGGCTGTATTTCTCAATTTAAAATAATATTATCTTGCGTATTTGTATTTGACCTACACTAAGAATTTAGAAATTTTATATTCTGTAAAAGAGAAAAGTTGTGTGTTCTTCCTTTTGCAATCATCACTTATTCTATTAGTTCTACCATTTTTTCATCAGCATTAGCTCATTCCTATTGTGTTTTATCATTCTGTCTTCCCTTTTGATTTCTGAAAATTGGTTTTGTTCCCCAGTTGACGGTAACATTTAATCTGAAGAACAATGGCCGTGTCTGTCAAGGTGATGTCTCTTATTGTCGCTTGTTTGGGCGTGATATCCTTCCTATTTGGAGTCGTTGCTGAGAACAAGAAGGTAAGCATCTGCAATCTTCATAAACAAGCATATCATATTGGCATCCAAGATGTTTGTTCATTTGAAATTGAAATATTAAACAGCAAGAATTAAGATACCGATTGCACTCTGGTTGAATAGTTTATCTTTTGTATATCCTAGATACTCTGCATCTTCCTTGGACCTTGGATTGATTACGGACTTAAATATTGTAGGCTGATTGATTACAGACTTAAATATTGTAGGCTGTAGCTGTAAGTTTTAATATAAGATATCGTTACATGCTTAATGTGCATCAACTGTATGTTGCAATTTCAGGGGCATATTGGTGTTTAATTTTGTATGTTGAACTTATGATGCTTTCCCTTTGTCATCTGAATAGCTTGTTGAAGTCCTTTGCTATTTTACTGAGCCATACTTGATCCCACCGTATGCAATATCATTTAAGTTCATACGCTCCTGTATCTCAAGATTTTTTCATCTTTTTCATTAATGGTCACTTCTTGAATTTGAACAGCCTGCATCAGGAACTCCCATCCCAGGCAAAGGCCTTGTTACCTGTCAATACCCGAGCGACCCAACTGTCGTCTTAGGATATCTTTCCGTTGCATTTCTTCTTGCTTCTTCAAGTGCAGGATACTTCTCTCTGTTCTATCCCTACCATGGAAAATCCGTTCCTCGAGGTGCCTTGTTTAAGAACAGCAGTTTCTCTATTTTCTTCAACATTGCTCTGTAAGTTCTCTTTCCAATGCACTAAAAATATTAACTTTGTAGTATTCGTTTTCATTATGGTTTGAACATTATAGTGTTTCAGGAAAATTCTGCCTTTCTGTTAATTACACATCACAAATCATTTCTTACTTTAGTACGATTTCCTGTGGATGGGTAAGCTTATGAATCAAGATTTCTTGCATGCTTTTTAGTTTTGAGATTATGATGTTATCCATTTCCGTATTTGTTATGAACAATCCTTTGAATCTTTATTTATATACTTATTGTGAGATCCCACATCGGTTGGAAAAGAGAACGAAATATTATTTTTAAGGGTGTGGAAACTTCTCTCTGATACATTTTAAAAACGTTGAGGGGAAACTCGAAAGGAAAAGCCTAAAGAGGACAACATTTGCGTTGCAATGACTTTTCAATAGTCCTTGAAATAATTTGATCTTTTCAATAATTTCCCACCTATTTGTTATCTTTCTCTTTACTCCTCATTTCAAGGAAGTAGAAACAATAATTCTTATTTTTATTTTGTTATCAAACTAGCCCTTGATATTCTCAATTAACGTACATTTAGATGGATTTTGTAGTAGGATATAATAAAACAAGATCATATAGATTTTGATGCACCCTCTCTATTTGCAGGTTCACAACTGGATTGGCTATGACTTTGCTCGCCTGGCCTACGCTCACCGAGCAACTTCATTTGTCTCGCAGCGTTCATTATGATCTCGAAACAGCATGCCCAACTGCTAAGACAGGTCTTTTGGGTGGTGGTGCATTTCTCTCCCTTGATTCATCCCTCTTTTGGTTGGTTGCCCTAATGTTGGCTGGAAACGCTCGAGAAGACTACTTTGATGAAATAGAGGAAAATGGAACCAGTGCTCAAACTCTTCAGAGGAGCGCATGAAACTTCTTTACTCGGTAATAATAATAATTCAGTCTCACTTTTTACTTGTCATTAGCTATTAAAGTAAGGACTTGCATGTGAATACAGATTCGTATAGTTGAACGTTTCTCGTGGTGTATTTCATATTCAACTTATAATATTGTGTGTTATTATTATTATTGGCAGTAAGATTATTAAGTTCTTGCCATCTATTTCATATGAATAATCCAAAATTAGCTACAATGACTCATTTTTTTTCTTTCGAAACTAATTTAAATAAAGTTTAAATTAAAAAAAATTATTTGATTTGGAGATGTAATTTAATGAAATTATAAAATTAAAATTATTATTGAATAAAGAATATAGATACACGCGTTAGGTGAAATTTTTAAGAATAATTAATTATTTAATGAACGTTTCATTTTCATTCTTCTTGACTTTTGAATACGAATTTATTGGTGTCATTTTCCAAGTTGACTTCTAAATTAACTCAGAATTTTAAATAAATAAATTCAATAATTTTCCTTAAAAGTTTCTAATTTGGAGAAGCTGTTTGATTCCTCCCCTATATTTGGATTGATTAAAGAACAATCACCACACAAATCACATTATAAATATTCGACTATTTATTTTTATTTTATTTTATTTTTATTTTTATTCAAACTATAAATATTGTAGTATTCCACTCCGCTCTTCAGTTTCGCCTTAATTCCGGAATAAAGCTCTTCGTTCTGCCTTCAGGTTTGCTTTGCATTTTCTTTCCCCCGAATAATTTCCAGTTTCAGATTTTCCGTAGAAGTAGAAGTAGTTCATGCTTCAGGTTTTTTAAACTGTTCAGTGTTTGTTTGGTTGTATGATCCTGATTTATGCGTTGAAGTTAAGTACAAAATTTCTACTGTTTGCGTCGAGTATATTCGGAGAAGATTTCATTGGATTATTGGATCATTCGATTTTGTTTGCTTTTAGGTGTCGCGATTCTCTTAAGGATACAGTATTTGCTGTTAAATTAACTCGATGAATCCTTTTTCTTTTAGTGACGCAAGATGTTTCTGTAAGGATTTGCGTAATAGCGATCGATAAGTTTGGAACGTTTTGATGGATTTTACACTCTGTTTGTTAATTTAAGCGTTGAAACTTTCAATGTTATTTGATTAGAGAGGAAGCGATTGGATATTCTTGTTGTTGTATAAACTCCTCCGTAGTTTGGAGTGTAGAATCTGTTGGAACGTATGAATATGATTAGAAAATGGAAATTCTGTAAAATAAGAAAAAATGAAGAGAAAACTTTCAATTTCTTTTTGTTCTTCCTTTTGAAATCATAACTCGTTTTAATAGTTCTACATCCTTTCCCAACATTAGACCATTCCTTGTGGTATAATTTATGTTTGGATCAACACTTCTGAGATCTCAATTTATTACCTGTATAGGTCTCGCTGCTAACATATATCTGGAGAATAATGGCTGTTTCTGTTAAATTGATGTCTCTTATTGTTGGAACTTTGGGTGTGATATCCTTTATATTTGGAATCGTTGCCGAAAACAAGAAGGTAAGCATCTGTAATCTTTGTAAACAAGCATACCGCCTTAGCAGTTATTCGCTTTTTAATATACATATCTATTCATTTAAAACTGTTGACCGCAAGATTCAATATTGATTTAATTAGTCTATGAGATCCGGAAACTTCTTCCTAGTAGACATTTTAAAAACCTTGAGAAGCTTGAAAGGGAAAGCCCAAAGAGGACAATATTACTAGCGGTGAGCTTGGGTCGTTACATAGTCCCTCGTCTATGTGTGGGAGCAGTTATATGAAATCTATGTTGGCTGTGGATATGGTAGTCAGTGGTTTAATGGTCACTAACTTGTTTTCCTATCTTTACTTGGATTTGAGCAGCCTGCATCTGGAACTCTCATCCCAGGCAAAGGCCTTGTTATCTGTAAATATCCTGGCGACCCGACGGTTGCCTTGGGATTTCTATCTTTTCTGTTTCTTCTTGCTTCTTCCATTGCGGGATACACCTCTCTGTTCTATCCTTACCAAGGAAAATCGGTTCCTCGAGGAGCGATGTTTAAGAACGGTAGTTTCTCTGTGTTCTTCAACGTTGCTCAGTAAGTTCTCTTTTGGAGGCACTTCCCTTTCTCTGACTGTTAACTAAATCATCTTAGCTTTGTATTCTTTATTAGAATGAATGATGTTACAAAATGATGCCCCCTAGTACATTATAGATCATGACAATTCTGCATCCTTCCATATAAACTACTTCTTCAGTTGGGTTTGTGTAGTTTATGTTGTAAGTTTTGGCTTCCACCCGTGGATGTAAGGAAATTTCTTTCATTCGAATCATGTAAATTTTTGTGTCTGTTTGTTTAATTTCTATTTGTGGGTGTATGAGTGCGATCAATCTTGCTTCCACTTCCACTTCCGCTACAACAATTGGATATCAGAGCATTTTTTTGTTGGTTACGAACCGTTTACGCATCACAAATCATTACCCTTTTCCGAAACATTTCTTGTAGAGGGGTCTATGCTTGTTATGATTTCATTCATGTAGCTTCTACAAGGCATTAAAGTGTAGCACATATTGAAGCACCCTCTCTATTTTGCAGATTCACAACTGGATTAGCTATTGCTTTGCTGGTATGGCCCACGGTCACAGAGCAACTTCACTTGATGCATAACATTCATCACAATGATGTGACAAAGTGCCCGACCGCTAAGACCGGTCTTCTAGGTGGCGGTGCATTTCTATCCCTGGATTCATGCCTCTTCTGGCTGGTTGCTCTGATGTTGGCTGGAAATGCACGAGAGGACTACTTTAATGAAATAGAAGAAAAAGAAAGCAATGCTCAAGCTCTCAAGAGCAGTGCATGAACCTCTTCTCTGTTTGGTGAGAATAATAAATTTTGTCTCTTTACTATGGGTTTTTAGTTGTTATTAGGCAGGGATTTATCCGTGAGTATGGTAATTCTTCTTTGGAATTTTACTGTTAAGCTGCAGGCTCTTAATCCATCCTAGTGGTGCACTTAGGTCAACCTTAGTTACAATTCTAGTGCTCAACTTTCTCAGCTTAGTTAGGCTTGGTCTCGGCATTTTTCCGTCTTTTTTCAACCGGATGAAGCGGATATTCGAACATTCGACTTTTAGATACATATATATAGTGTCTTAGGACATGTTTGATGGGTAGTTTGAATTCGATCTTGTATTTACAAATTCACTTAGATCGGTGAATATACTTTGTAGATGTGTTGTTTTAAATTATTTTTCGAATTTTGTGATTTAGATAGTGAAAATTTTGAAAATGAGTATTCATAAAAATTTATATTCTATACATTTTTGAACCATGGTTTACAAAGATTTGTTATAGTTTAAAAACACAAATTCAAATGGTACCAGCTTTCAAGGGAGGAGTTATCAACAACTTACCAATTTATCGAACGGTAACTTATATTTGAGATTTATATTCCAATTCATCGAACAAAACATTAACATACAAATTAATACAATTAACATTTGTACTCCTTAAAAATATCATAGGTCGATATGTAAAACTACTTCTCATTTTGTGAAGTAAAAAAAATTACCTTCAACCTCGTGCATGCTCGAGTATTTAATAAGTAGGAAATAATATAGATCAATGGATTTGTAGTAAAATCTTGAGCAATATGTTCATCATTAGATTAGAGGATTAAAAACATGAATATTGCTTTCCAATGAAATGTTTTCAAGTAACAAAAAAAACAAAAAGGTTGTATTTTCTCGCTATAAGTATTAGAGTTAGTTTTTTACAAAAATTAATTTTGGATTAGAGTTAGTTTTTCAATAATTAATTTTATAAATACTATTTGCACGTGTAATATATATATATATATATATATATATATATATATATATATATATATATAT